GTGAGTTGCACAGGCTGACAATTCTGGTTGGAATCCCAAGCGCGGCAGCAAATCTCTTCGCAGCTGCTATCCAAGAGACGACTCATGTCAACCTCCGTTTCCCACCAAGCCCAGCACCAGTGCTTGTCAGTTCCACGTGCTTCCGCGATCTCATCTTCTGGCCTTTGGAGCTCAGTGATCTCCCAAGACTTGCCCGAATCCAGGGAGATCTCCGCTCGGATGATCTTGTGACCTCCACCAGTGTAGCCGTATCCGGAGACCTTGATGGTCTTGGGCAAGTTCTTCTCTTCCACAAACGAGTTGTGACGCGGTTCGAACATCGCCGAGTTGATGTTCATGTGGTTGATGATATACTCAGGCTTGTACCACCATCCCTCTGCGTAAGCAAGATCGGCATCAACATGGGGAGGAAGCACGCGGTTGTCGAAGTAATGGTAATGGTTCTCGGAAGGCTTGTCTGAGACCTTGGGAGATGGAAGGCGGACATGATTCTCACGCTGATAAAGGTTCAACGAGGTTGGAANNCTATATCCAATGTGCAGGCTTACTACTACTTGGAAGTGAAGAGCAGTGAAAGGCTTCCTTACTTCTTGTGGGAAGGCGGTGACCGGAAAGTCATCTACGACTTCCGGGGAAGGGGGGGGGGCGGTTCATCTTCTGCGAGCGCAGTTCTATGCCCTGAGTGACAGTGAGAGGCCTTAAGCATTTGAGTTGGACCGGCTTCCAGCTAAATGGTTGCGGTCGAAAGCACGGCCCGTTGAGCAAGAATGAGAACGGGGAGTAATTGCTGACAAGGACTAGTGACTAGAATTCACAGATGCGCAGCTCGCTTTCAAGCTCAAGCGAGAAGGTGCGACTATGCGGACTCTTAGCGCTAATTCCAGAATGTTTCGGGCTTCTCCTCATCATGATTCGCCTTTAGCCACCAGATGCCACCAGTAGCAAGCAAAACAAGACTACTGAACCGGAAATAAACCATCTTCTCTGCCAGTATGCAAGCAAGAAGCCCACATGCTGGAGAGCCATTTGATCATCCGGCCACCGATGCAACCCGGCAACAGCGTTCGCAATGGAAAGCCATGGTCCGGAGTAAGCAGCTCGCCGTTCTGTTTGAAAGCCAGCAGCACATCTCGCTCCCTGTCCAGCGCCCAGCCCAAATCAATGGACGTGCCATATGATCCGGTTTTGCCCTGAGGCAACTCACCCAGAGGACCTTCGAAATGGACGAAGCGATGCTCTTTCGAAGGCCGTGTGATGCCAACCGCGGCCAACAAGTCGCACAGGCGGACTCCTGTCCACACGGAGTTCCCAACGGCTCCGGCTCCCCAATCGAATCCTTGTTGGCGCGCACCCGACTTTCCCAAGTGTAAAGGACAACAACTCAACTCAAAAAGAAACGAAAGTGATTGATCCCTTCCAAGGGACCGACCGTCTTCTTGGTGAGGTTCTGCTCCTTGCGCCGGTTCCCGGCACAGATAAAAGTCACTGGGATGGACACAATGGTGCCCCATTCACCAGATGCAATCTGCTCCATGCTCAGCTCCACCGGCTTTGGGACTCCTGTGATCTTCAGTCGATGCTCGGACCAAGAAAGCTGTGGCACCGCTCCATGGTTTCGAACCACATACAAAGCAGGCGGTGTAATCCAACCAGCTGCCTGCAAGTTCTTGAGAGGTGGCTCCGAGTTGAAAGGATGCGCACCAGTGTTGCGCAGCATGTCCGGATGACGCTTGATCCACTTGTCGGGGGTGTT